ATATCGGCTCAATCAGGATTGGGGTAGGCCCTCTCAGACCCAGACCAGGCACGGAGTACGGACTCTCCCACACATAGGATGATCCTTTCATTCCTGGGATGTCTCCTCAGGCCTGAACTGGGCCCTCTCAGACCTGAAATGGACCCTTCTCAGGCCTGAAGTAAACTCTCATGCCTCAAATAGGTCCTCTAGGGCCTGAAATTGGCCTTCTCAGGCCTGACATTTGCCCTCTCAGGCCTGACATTTGCCCTTTCAGACCTCAAATGGGCCCCTCTCAGGCCTCAGCTAGGTCATCAAGGGCCTGAAATGGGCCCTCTCAGGCCTGACATTAGCCCTCTCAGACATGAAATTGGCCCTCTCAGACCTGAAATGGGCCCCCTCAGCCCGGAAATGGTCCCTATCATGTCGAAAAAGGGCCCCCTCATACCGTAACTGGGCCCTCTCAGGTCTGAAATGGTGCCTCTTATGCCTGAACTGGGCCCCTCTCAGCCCTCAAACGGGCCCTCTCTGGCCTCAAACGGGCCCTCTCTGGCCTCAAACGGGCCCTCTCTAGCCTCAAACAGGCCCTCTAGGGCATGAAATGGGCCCTCTCAAGCTTGAAATGGGCCCCCTCAGGCCTGAAATGGGCCCCTCTCAGGCCTGAAATGGGCCCTATCAGGCCTCAAACATGCCCTTTAGGGCCTGAAATGGATCCCTTCAGGCCTAAAATGGGCCCTCACAGCATCAAATGGCCCTCTCAGGCCTGAAATGGGCCCCTCTCAGGCCTCAAACAGGCCCTCTAGGGCCTGAAATGGGCCCTCTCAAGCTTCAAATAGGCCCCTTCAGGCCTGAAATGGGCCCTCACAGACCTGAAATGGGCCCTCTCAGGCCTGAAATGACCCTCTCATGCCATGGAACGGGCCCTCCTAGGCCTTGGATAATGGATTAGTTCAATCGGTTGGATGTACCCTCTTAACCCGCGCGGGGCTGGGGGGGGTAAATTTTATCCCCCCTCGCGAATTTTTGCGATATCTCAAAAACGGCGGCGCGCAGCGCCGCCAAACTTTCAGTACCTTTTCTTACATCAATTTGACACGTTCCCTGAAACTTTGAGCGAAATCCGTCGGAAAAATTTTGAGAAATTGACGTTTTAGTGACGTCATGTTCGCCATTTTCGCCTCAAAAACGGCAAAAGTTCAAACGCCGCTAACATCTTCATTTTTAAAGGAATCAAGACGTAACAAAAAAGGTTATACGTAATTTTACTTTGTCTATCAAATGGCTATCTCGGTTTTTTGAAAATGTTGGATTTTGGCCTAAATTTTTTCAAAAAACTGACTTTTTTGGGAAAATCATTATAAAATCCAAAATTATGAGTCTATCGAAAAAACCGGAATATATGTCAGAGAAGTGGTCTATGTGCACCTACATACCAAATTTTAGAAGAATCGGTTCAAAAATGTGGGAGTTATTCAAAATTTTATGACGTCACGACACACAAAATTTTTGAAAAATGACTTTTTTGGAAGTTCTAGACCTCGTACGGAAACAAAAATAGCACCATTCGATTCGCCGTGAAAAACTGCATCAGATAGACACCTTTTTAGGCCTTAACAACCAACTTCAAAATTTGACCTCACTTGACCTGACCTTGACCTGACCTCGACGAAATTCATCCAGAGGTGGTCCATATCACTTATTGAGTGTGCCTATTGAATTCTATGAGTAAAATGACCCATAAAACATGTGCCGCACATGCCCTTTTCTATATTTTGTTTTTTGGTGACCTGACCTGACCTGACCTGACCTTGACCTTGACCTCTGAATGATATTGTATGCAACGAATATTGTCTTGGTAGCCTAAGAACACGTTTTGGGCGATCAGTCTCAGTCCATGACTCCATTCTTCGGCAACTACGGTGCAAGGCCGATACTGTAGAAACTTGCAATTTGTACCCTTGACCTGACCTTGACCTTGACCTCAAACTTTAAATTAAGTACATGTTTTTAGTAGTTCGTGATGAGAGCTTTCGATTGGCGTTTGAATTTTCCAAATCGGACCATTAGTTCGGGAGATAACAGGGGGGGGGGGGTAAAATTTACCCCCCCCCCCCAGCCCCGCGCGTTCGGCTGGAGACCCCAGCCCCGCGCGGGTTAAATCATAAAATGGGACTATAAATCCTAAGGGGGGGGGGCTATCAGGCCTGAAAACTGTTTTTCAGTCCTATGACGGACCTTGACATTATGATAAAAAAAAATGTCAGGCTGCATAACGTTACAGTTCGAATCGACGGTGGGCCCCTAGGATAAGAGATGGGGGTGAGATCTCACCCCTTTCACCCCCCCTGGCTGCGCCACTGAGCCCTTACAAATTGTGCACTTCTCGAATTTTTCATAACTGGTCACCTGAGGTTAGGTCGGTCACATGACCTCACCATTCCTAGTTCCTACCTTCCAAAGTCAGTTGGAGTCTGGAGAATATGGATAGGCCGTTATTTTGGCACCGGAAAGTATCGAAGACTATCAAAGCAGATTTGATCTAATGGTGTAGACTCCTTGAAAGGTCGGATCAGGATGCGTAACTGACTGTTAGGAACATTGTTGATCTTGCGTGACGTTGTACCTATATGACGCCACTAAGGTCATCGGAGTTTTTCGTCAATAACACTCGATCGAACTGGGATAGCGATTCAGGAAAGCCACCCGGAACGACATGCCATGATATGCGATAGGTACGGACATTCGAACAGCTTCGGTGACCTGACTGTGGCTTTGACCTAAACTGGCCTGACTGAGGTCAACACTCAAGTTGACCTCAACAAGGATAGGAATGGTTGGATAAGACCGAATGAGCCATGATGTATCTTACCTTCCCTGATTTGGTATTAGTGCATATGAATTCGTTTGATCAAGTCACAAGTCACAACACTCACAAGTGTCAACTCAAGTGATCAAGTCATCACGAGTCATCATTCAGGCATATGTAGTGCATTTGTAAATCGTAGTGCATTTTCGTAATCGACTCTCATACGGTAGGGAAAAACTCCACCCACCACATATGGTAGCAACTGGCAGTGTTATAGGTGGCGCTGTAATCGCCAGCATCGCCCTCACGACAGGCGCTTCTCCGCCCCCCCCCCCCCTCCCCGCGTCCGTGTCCGTCCGCGTTCGGCCCGTGACCGTGTCCCGCATTCCGCATCCGGGATTTGGTGTCGACCGCGGCCTTTGGGAGGCAACGCCTACATCGTCACAGTGGGCGTCGCGTCGTGTAAAGGTGATCGCTGCTGTGTGGGGTGTGCGTGCTGTGTATCTTGATCAGTCTATTCAGCTCCACTACAACTAAGCTTAAAACATTTGCTTTCATTGAAAGTGTTGGTATTTTGTATGTGTGCCACCGAATCTAAATTATGTATATTGCACTTTAGAATGACAATAGCGTGATAATTTTTCATAATTATGATATAACAGACTCAAGTGATCTGTTGGTGTCGGTGAAAAATACCAGGAATTGAAATCAAAGTGAAAATATGCATTGTTGTAAAATTTGGTTGTGCATGCCTTACATCAATTTTTGCAATTGAAAAAAAATCTTAGAATATGTATGAAATATGACCAGTACCTATACATGCAGGTGCGCAGTTTCATCAGTAAACAAAATAAATTCTTGAAAGTGGCGCAAGCCGCTTACGGGTTATGTATCATATGCCTTGAATTGGAAATAAGTTAGAAACTTGTTTGTTGGAAAGTTCGACATATTTGACCTGTCCTTCTGGTAGATGTTTTGATGAGATTTATTTGTGTATCAATTTATATTTCTATAGCTTAACCATTCAAATGCACAATTTTATTCTTGAAATGATGGGTACAGAGTTCCTAAAGCTTTCATTTACCTATTTATATTTATTTGGTTGCCTAGCCATTAGCCATTTAAGTTTTGGCATTCCTTTCATTATTTGCTTCAAATTTTATTCATTTGTACCTCCTGTCCTTCAATTTCAAAGTGACTTACATTCACTTTCAAAGTGACTTACTTTTCCTCACTTCCCCCTTTTCCTCCCTTCCCTTCCTCCCATTTATCCTTCTGCTTATCTCTTTTTTCTCCTCTCCCTCTCTTTTTATCTCCATCTCCCTGCCTTTGGCATTATTTTGCCACAGCTACATTTCTATTGCTAAGTCAGTGAAATTTATTAGTGTGAGTTCTTCACAGTTGATGTTGGCTGGTGGCTTCTGCATGGTAGCCTTATGAGCAATGACATTCTTTATATTTGTATATATTATTATAATATATTATTATAATTTGCAAAGGCCTATTCTCTTGATCATGGATTTTCCTCAGTGCAGGCTCACACCAGTGGCCATAGTGCTTCTTATCTAAAGTTAGACTTTGGAATGCTTCTATTATAATACCTTTGTCATCTAAGTATAGTAATAGAAAAAGTACAGGGCATCCATTCAGAATGACCAGCATACATGTTTGTTATTTGTTTTCCCTTTCACTACCTGTGACTGTGACAGAAACATGTGAATCATGATCATGTGTGTCATGATCCAGATTGTCACTGCCAATTTCTCACCTCTGGCCTGTCTGTTATCTATACTTGTTTCTCTCTGATTTAATTCCTCTCTTACCTCACTCCCCTTTCCTCAGGCCTGTCTTACCTCCCTCCTCATCTCATTGAACTAATTTCCATCATAACTCACTTCCTTCTCACCTCACTCCTCATTGATCATTCTCCTTACTCCTTTATTACCTCTATACCTCCCTTACCTTCTTCCTCTTGCCCCACTTTCTCATAGCTCACTCCTCTATTTTACCTCACTCCTCTTACCTCACTCCTCTTACCTCACTCCTCTTACCTCACTCCTCTTACCTCACTCCTCTTGCCTAAACGCTTAACTCTGTGTTATTCCATTCGTTTTTATCTTACTCCTATCTTATCTCTTTTTACGACCTCGCTCTTATCTCATCTCGTATCTGCCTTATCTCCTTCCCCTCTGACTCTGTCTGTCTGTACCGGCAGGCCTGCTGTGCGTCGCGCGGCGCTCGCCTTCCCGTGCGTGACGTCACCACCATCAGCTGCGGCGGCGCGCGCTCCGTCCCCGCCAGCGCGCGCTCCATCCCCGCCGGCGCCAGCCATGGAGAGCAGCCTGCTGGACGCGCTCGAGTGCGCCATCTGCCTGAACCAGCTGAGCGAGTCGAATCGGGTGCTGCCCTGCCAGCACACCTTCTGTCAGCAGTGCCTGCTGGACGTGGTGGCCTCTCGCGGCGGAGAGCTGCACTGTCCCGAGTGCCGGACTCCCGTGCTGACGCCGGTGGCCGAGCTGCCGCAGAACATAGTGCTGGTGCGCCTGCTGGAGACGCTGAGGACGGCGCGCGCCGCGCCCACGCCCGCGCAGCGGCCCGTGCTCGAGCGCGGCGTGTCGTGTGACGGATTCGCCGAGGGCTCGCCGTTCGTGCGCCGCGCCTCTCAGACCAACCCGTTCCTGAGTGAGGGCGCGGGCGCGGGCCCGCCGGCCGGCCCGCCGCCGCCGCCGCCGCCGGCCGCGCCTCCCGAGGGCGGAGGGCTCACCGCCGAGGAGAGGGTAGCCTCGCTGCTGGCAGAGTTCGACCCGCTGCAGCGGCGCACCACGCCGCCGGCGGCCGCCCCCGCCCCCGCCCCCGCCGTGTCCGCGCAGAGCTCCCCCGGCCGGGCGCCGCAGGCCATACCCTGCGCCAGGGCACTCTTCAGCTATGCCGGCACTCAGGAGGGGTAAGTTGCAGCTCAGCTTGTGGGGTAGGAGTGAGAGAAGGGGCATATGATTAACAGAGGAGCATAATTAACGTCAAAGTAGGTGTGCTCACCCGCATATAATTTCTTTCTGTTCCTGAAGTTGACTTCTTCAGGGCCAGTTTTCGTGTTACTTCGTCACGATGTCGTCATTCGAGTGTTGCGCTAGAGTCCTTTTTTTCATTTCTATTCATTTCCACTCGTGATTCCTCTCAGCGACTCGACCTTATGTCTGGTTTTCAGTTCTGTTGAGTTGGTGTTTTGCACTGCAGCGGCGCTTTCTTTGTTTTGCCACCATGTATCGTCAGTAACCTCACGGCGCGTCGTGTGTCTGCATCATCCCTCGGCTTCCGTCGGATTCGCCCCCGCCGTCCGCGGCAGTCCGTCCGCCGCCGCGGGTACTGGGCCCCATCGCAATCACACCCGGTTTCCGCCTCCCGTCGTCACCTCTGACGGCTCTGAGTTCTGACATTCTCGTATAGCTCAGTTGCCTGCCCACTGCCCAGCTTCTCTCAATTTCAGTCACTCAGCAGTGTGGGATATCTTGGAGATTTTGGAGGCGGAGGAGATTCTCCCTCGCCTCCATAATGCTCGTCTATCAAAGTGACCTCTCGTGTCCCCGTCCAGGCCGCAGGGACCTCCCATAACCTCCGTCCCCTTCGTAGGGGCCTCTCATGGGACGTCCCAGCCGCAGGGGCTTGTCATAGCTCCCGTCCCCTCCGGAGGGGGCCTCCTCTGAGTTAACAATCTACATCCCAATCTCCGAGACTTCCTAACCTCTGATACGCCGGAGAAACCTCCACTTCTCCATCTCAGAAGGCCCACTGTGCTCTTTGACGCAGAGAACTATGGTAACTCCGTTTGTCCGTCGGATGCCTCTTTTAGTGCGGAATACACATTCCTTAGCCTTAGCTACCTCTCGCAATCCTCGTATCCAGCACAAAGAACTCTAATAACCCTCGCCCCGCTGAAGGGACCACACATAACCCCCTGGTCTGTCCGCGGCCGCAGGGACCTAGCGTTCAAGGAGGGCGACGTCATCCAGCTGCGGCGACGGATCGACTTCGACTGGTTTGAGGGCCAGCTGGGCGGCCGCACGGGCGTGTTCCCGGCCAACCGGGTGACGGTGCTCACCCCACTGGCCAACCACATCCCTCAGTGCCGCGCCATCTCGCAGTTCACCTTCCCCGACCAGGACGGAAAGACCTACCTCAGATTCAAAAAGGTGAGGCGCGAGGAATAAGGGTCGGGTGCGGGGTGGATGTGTACCTACTACCTGCTGTGTTCTGTGTAGTCTGGGTGAGGGCTGAGAGGTGTGGATGGATGGCTATTGGCTAGGTCTACAAGTTAGCAAGCAAGAAAATTGGAAAATCTGTGGTCTTTATGGAAACTGGAAGGGATCAGTTGTTGAAGTGAATTAGTTATTATGCTTATAATAGCTCGTCTGTCTGATTGTTAGGTATCTAATGCGCTCTAAGATCTTTGTCCTGAAATGGGCATAGCTGCTTTCCGATCTCCTAGTGTAGATATTCAAAGTTTCAAACCCATGTTAGCCTGGTAGTGAACGTTTTTCCACAAATACGGTGATCAAGTTTGACCGACGTCCCGTATGTCTGATGAAATGTAATATCCACAATGCGTTTCGTCATCCCCCGGCATAGCAATGCTCTGGCACGATGAGATCATGCAGGTCATGTAACAAGGGGCCTCACCGAATCGGGCCATGAATGCGCCGAATGCTACTCGATCGAATGGATCTCTGGCAAGTCTGTGTATCCGGTCGGTTCTGCTATAACTTCTCTCAGTTTCAAGAGTATTCGGTGCATTTACTGGATAATCAGCCTGAAATAGGCTGGAGATAAGTTTAAAATGAGGGAGTGGTTTGTACCGTTGCTCCAGTGAACACTTACGATTCTTCTTTCACCCGGTTTTCGTTTTCGTTAGGAAACTCATTAGTTTAGCTTAACCCGCGCCCCGTTGGGCTCTGCCGAGCAACGCGCCCCGTTGGGGGGGGGGGGCATTTTGCCCCCCCCCCTAAGATCTCGAGAACCACGCAACCTAGCGACAAGCGGCAAACGGTGTTGGATAGCCCTATCAGGGAACTACCTTGTGACCCAATTTTATTGACCTAGGTCAAACCGATGACGTCACAGGTCAGGTCAAAGGTCGAATTTTCACCGTTTACAGGCATTTCAAGAAATGCGTTGTAAAATCGAGTAAAATGCTTTAATTGAAAATCATCGATGGGGAAATGTTCTTCAAACACATATTTTGCTATTTGAGGTCACTGATACCAGGTCAGGTCACAGAGGTCAGGTCACTGGGGGGGGGGGGGGGTCACAATATGAAAGTGTCGTGTGATACGTGTTTTATGGTCCATTTTACATGACAAATGCGATTATGTGGGTCAGGCAGACTTTTGGACCAGCTTAGGTCACGTTTTGGTCAAGGTCAGGTCAAATTAGGTCAAATTTCAAAGTTGATATTTTTGCATAAACTGGGTATCGATTCGATGCAGCTCGTCACGGGGAGTTCAATGGTGGTCTTTGTTTTGCCCTACGTGGTCTAGAATCGCTAAAAATTGAGTTAAAAAATTTGACGTCATCATTTTTGAACAGTTTTTTCGCTATAACTTGGCCAAAAAACGAGATATCGATCTGAAATTTGGTATGAATATAGAAGAGCACAGGGATTATCATATATATTCCGGTTTTTTTCGAAATTCGGAATTTTTTTTGGATTTTTAAAAGTTTTTCTAAAAAAATTCATTTTTTTTATTTTTTGGGGGTCAAAAGCCCAAAATTTTGAAAATCCGAGATAGCGGTTTTGTAGCGCCGCTTTTTGTCTACTAGACCATATAAAGAACTTTGAAATTGCTTGGTAACTGTAAATGTGGTGAGCGTTTCAAGATTGCATGTTTTTTGCTCATTTTTGCTCGAACATGACCTCAGTTTGACCTCAATAACTCCTGACCTAAGGTGACCTAAGACTTGAAATTCGGTGTGAAGGTGTTAAATTGATGCCCGGGAAGGTACTGAAAATTTGGCGGCGCTGCGCGCCGCCGTTTTCTTGCTATTCAGGAAAAACCACAGGGGGGGGCCAAAATGCCCCCCCCCCCAACGGGGCGAGGGTTAACATTCTGTCGGATTGTGTTCCGGACACCATCAGTTAAAGGTAGTGTGCCACCTTTGAAAGATTTCCCATTTTATTTTTCCTAGGATAAGAAGCTTCTGTTTTTACCTAATATCGCAAAAAAAAAATCAAAAATGGGCCTGGAATAGTGCCTTTTTCGCCTAAAAGTTTTTCGGTTTTTAGATATGTATAACAACTGTAGTGGGCTCACCTGCAAACAGGCGTCGGGCAACAATCGCGAATGCGGCGCACTTGTGACAATAAGCAAAGGTCATTATAGTGTTAAGACCATACGACGTACAGTGTGTCTAAAAAGAATGTACCGTCGCCACTACGTGGCGCTGGTGTCGCGAGCCGGTAGTTGGCTGAATCCGCACCAGACCACACATTCCCAAGCGCTAGGTGACAGCTGCGCAGCGGCCGGTAGTAGCGTAAGCCCGAACCTTCGTGACACGACCCCGGGGGGGGGGGGGGAGAGGGGAGCGGGCGGGGCAGCGCGTGTAGAGAGGGATGCTCCAGCAAGCTGGCAGTTGTCGCGGCCAAAGGTCAAGGGGTCACACACCAAGCGAACGGACGCTGATGTGGGTTCGTGGGGATCATGAACTTGTGTGTGGTAGGTGCGTCTTGCGATGCACGGGTGATACGCCAGGTCTAAGCCAAAGGATTCAGGGGAGAGCTGAAGAAAAACACCTGGTCAACTACGGCGAATAATAGTGCTGAAAAAAATGGAAAGTATGGGTCAATGCAAGCCTTCATGACTATAAAGGCCAGCATTGAATAACGATATCCGGATCGAAATAAGCAATGATTTATAATTAAATGCCGAACTAATAGCGCTGCCAAACCCTCCTAGTAAATTGTCAAGTCGGATTATACCCACTTGAATTAAACTATCCTAAATAAAATTGTTAATCAACTTTCTAGCACTGACGTTCTTTATCATACGATAAGTATGGGGTTAACCAAGATTCAGCATCTTCCGCGTTCAAACAATCACCTGTAAGGCTAGAACATTAATGGCCAGGTAAAAACATGGTCGGGATTTGATTAACCGGATTATAAGTCGATTTTTTTAGTCGGGATTTGATAAGTCGGTTTTTTTACGCCAACCGCATTTTTAAGTCAAGTCAGGTCACTGATCTATGACGTCATAAATGAGCAGTCCTAAAATGAACTGTGTGAAGCTGTCCTAAACTGTCCTCAACATTTTAAGACTGTGTGCACACTCCTAAAATGTTCCAACTTCGCAACACCCTCAGTGCAGAGCTTTCATAGGGAGATGAAACTTACAGGATCTTATAGTATGATCGAGAGTCTCACAACTTGTATAAATGTATATCTAGGATTTTCTGAAGGGTCGCCTGAGATCAGGTCAGTCTCTCACCATTAAAAGTCAGGGGAATATGGAAATTGCTAGTTTGGTCCGGAAATGATATACAACTATCTCAAATTCTCAAGCACACGGAATCGTGATTTCATGCGCTCCTTGCAAGGTCTGATGCTTTAATTTTGCTTTGTTGATCTTGCGTGACGTCATTTATCACGTAACCAATGGTCACGTAACCAGTGGTAACCAAATCAGTTTTTCGTCAATAACTCCCGATCAACTAAAGCTACCGAGGCGATAAAGCCACTAATGGACATGAAAAGACCTGCCGAATCGATTGATATGCAATATGACCTCCTTTGACCAGCTTCGTGACCTGACGGGCTGTGACCTGACCTTGACCCGAGGTTAACACCTTAACTCTCGCCCGTATTGGTGTTTTTCCAGCCGCAAACGTATAAGGGGGGGGGGGGTCCGTTGGACCCTCCCTTGCCGTTTCGCCCCTGATCGAGCTGGAGCTTCGCGGAAAAAACGAGCGTGTTGGCCGTGACGAGAGGAAGTCGATGATACCCAATTTTAAGGTCCTAGGTCATCGGTTGACTTTCCAGGTCAGGTCAATGACCCAAACGTCGGGAAAATCGGGCCTGTTAGAAAGTGGTAAAGCGTGGCTGCTATGGGGTTTTCGGGGTGCTGATCACGAATATCATGTTAGTTTTGATCACAGATGATGTCTTCATGCATTTAGGCCAGGTCGGGTCAGGTCAGGTCAGGTCAACCAGCAAGGGTATTCGGGCAATTCCATGACAGATCACCTAGGCATGTTCACCATGACCTCTCCGATTTTGCTCAAATTTGGCATGCAAGTTGACCTATGGGCACTACTTCGTCCCAGTAAATTTTTAATCTCTAGGTCACAGGGGTCATGAGATATGGGTCATGCAAATTTTTAGGTTTTCCGGAACATTGAAATATAAAGTATTTTTTATCTCTGCAACGGTTCACCGGATCAAAAAAAGTTATATATGAAATAAAAAGCACAAAGGCTGGTGCGTCTAGCAAAAATGTGAACGAAACCCCAAGGTCATTTTTTGACCCTTTGACCTCGTGACCTTTTCTTGACCCCGTGACCTTTCAAATTTGTCCTATTTTAAAAATTCTGATTTTTTCTATCAGAGATGTCTTATCCATGCTCTTAATAGTGGTATGTGATTTGGTTGGTATATCGGACCCGTTGACCTCAAACTGAGGTCAACAATGTGGTCATGACCTGACATGAAAATGACATCTGCCAAGAACGTCGAGAATCATAGGCAATATGGGTGTCATATGAAAGCTTACTTCACGGAGAATACATTGGTGGTGTTTTTGAGTAGGTATGGGCCGGGTCAAGGTCACATTAGGTCAGTGACCTAACACAGCATTGTGTTCTTTGAAGGTGGCGTATTTAATTTGTTTGGTAAGCCCAGTGATCAGCAGTCAGCACACGATAAAAAAGGAAACAAAACGTCATAAAACGTCTTTTTTATTCAAAAAGCAGAGATAAAATGCACACATACCCATATAAACACACTCGCAAAAACACACACATTCATACACCTTGTTCGAGGAAGTTCTTTCAAACAAACCCCAGTGACACACGCGCTGTGAAGAACGAGTCTCAGAAGACTCGGGACAGTTTGAAGGCTGCTATGGTATTGGAGTCGAACAGTACAAAGCGGTGAAACGTCCTGGTACCCTTCACCATGCGGGCACTTGTGAAGCGTTCT